GTGCAGTGCTGTGCGAGTGGGTGAGTGCGAATCAGAGCATCACACAAGGTGTGGAGAGAGGCTGGCGAGACACTGGAGTCGATGCCATGGGACGGCATGGGATGGCATGGGACGGCATGGGATGGCATGGGATGGCATGGGACGGCATGGGATGGCATGGGATGGCATGGGATGGCATGGGATGGCATGGGATGGCATGGGATGGCATGGGATGGCATGGGATGGGATGGGAGGGCACTGGATGGCATGAGATGGCATGGGATGGCATGGGACGGCATGGGATGGCATGGGATGGCATGGGATGGCATGGGACGGCATGGGATGGCATGGGATGGCATGGGATGCAATGGGATGGGATGGGAGGGCATTGGATTATACATGGGCAAAGTGACGATTCGAGCAAAACTCGACTCGTCCATGGCCTTGCTCGACCGAGTTTTGCCCCGAGTCGAGTAAAACTCTGACGAGCAATTTTCCCAAAAAAGCATACTCGTGACTCGTCGTTTTTTGCCATGCTCTGACGAGTTCAAGTGAATGCTCGTCCGAGCACAAGTCATGCTCGACTCTCCACCCTGTGCCTGCAAATTTTGCCCCACCATAACATCAACATGGAAGGAAAGGGTCGCCATTAATGTAATGGTGAAAACGTGGTAACAACGTTAACTTAGAAGAACACGTGCGTGCAATGTCACCACAAATCCAGTCGCAGCCCTATTTCGCGCGTTAAGCTAAGGTACGAGTTACAAGGGACGCTAGTTGTTGATGGAAACAACCGTTAGTTGCTGATTCGAGTGGACTAGCGTTGGCGAAAGTTCAGGGAAAGTGGTTGGGAACAATTACGGTTTTCAGATCTGTCCCCAAAATGTTTCGCGTCAAACTGTTTCGCGATAACTTCGCGAACACTTTGACTTGATCGCAGGGTTTAGGGGTAAGGCACGACAAATTTCACCCGCTCGCCAATTTCGCGAGCAGTGGAAATTGCGGTGGTTGGGTACAAATGCGTTTCTCAGATCTGTACCCATTCCCGCAATTACTCATGTAGGGTTACGGGACGAGATTGTTGCATGCACGACGAGTTTTTAAAACTCGTCGAGCGCGGGAAACTCCCCCCAGTAGCCGAAAATGCTCGTCAGTAAGTCCGACTACACGACGAGCAAAAAAAACTCGGTGAGTAAAACTCGCCTCGCCTCGGCCGAGTTTTTTTGCCAAAAAAGGAGGCTCGTCACTCGACCCCCAACGAGCATCTCGGGCGAGTCAAGTGAAAACCCCACCCTCGATGCCCATGTATACATTGGATGGCATGAGATGGCATGGGATGGCATGGGATGGCATGGGAGGGCATTGGATGGCATGAGATGGCATGGGATGGCATGGGATGGCATGGGACGGCATGGGATGGCATGGGACGGCATGGGATGGCATGGGATGGCATGGGATGCCATGGGATGGGATGGGAGGGCATTGGATGGCATTAGATGGCATGGGATGGCATGGGACAGCATGGGATGGCATGGGATGGCATGGGATGGCATGGGACGGCATGGGATGGCATGGGACGGCATGGGATGGCATGGGATGGCATGGGATGCTATGGGATGGGATGGGAGGGCATTGGATGGCATGAGATGGCACGGGATGGCATGGGACGGCATGGGATGGCATGGGATGGCATGGGACGGCATGGGATGGCATGGGATGGCATGGGATGGCATGGGATGCCATGGGATGGGATGGGAGGGCATTGGATGGCATGAGATGGCATGGCATGGGATGGCATGGGAGGGCATTGGATGGCATGAGATGGCATGGGATGGCATGGGATGGCATGGGACGGCATGGGATGGCATGGGACGGCATGGGATGGCATGGGACGGCATGGGATGGCATGGGATGGCATGGGATGGCATGGGATGGCATGGGATGGGATGGGAGGGCATTGGATGGCATGAGATGCCATGGGATGGCATGGGACAGCATGGGATGGCATGGGATGGCATGGGACGGCATCGGATGGCATGGGATGGCATGGGACGGCATCGGATGGCATGGGATGGCATGGGATGGCATGGGATGCCATGGGATGGGATGGGAGGGCATTGGATGGCATGGGATGCCATGGGATGGGATGGGAGGGCATTGGATGGCATGAGATGGCATGGGATGGCATGGGATGGCATGGGACGGCATGGGATGGCATGGGACGGCATGGGATGGCATGGGACGGCATGGGATGGCATGGGATGGCATGGGATGGCATGGGATGCCATGGGATGGGATGGGAGGGCATTGGATGGCATGAGATGCCATGGGATGGCATGGGATGGCATGGGACAGCATGGGATGGCATGGGATGGCATGGAACGGCATAGGATGGCATGGGATGGCATGGGATGGCATGGGACGGCATCGGATGGCATGGGATGGCATGGGATGGCATGGGATGCCATGGGATGGGATGGGAGGGCATTGGATGGCATGGGATGGCATGAGATGGCATGGGATGGCATGGGATGGCATGGGAGGGCATTGGATGGCATGGGATGGCATGTGATGGCATGGGATTGCATGGGATGGCATGGGATGGCATGGGATGGCATGGGATTGCATGGGATGGCATGGGATTGCATGGGATGGCATGGGATTGCATGGGATGGCATGGGATGGCATGGGATTGCATGGGATGGCATGGGATTGCATGGGATGTGACGGGATGCGATGGGCATGGTGAGTGGGTGGGTGAGAACCTGAGGCGTTGCAGGGGGTGTTGGGGAATATGGTGGGCATGTCTGCCTGTGACAGCATGAGGAAGGGGAAAGGAGGGCGAGTGAGAAACAGAGCGTAGGCACATATGAGGTGACTGCCAGCAACCCCAGGGGCAGAGACGTGGGCAGCAGATGGCAGCAGTCAACAGGGCAGCTGTGTGGAGAAAAACGCAAAACGCATGGACGGAAATTTTTGGGGCAGCCCGAAAATAAAAATGCCAGCGTGCGAAATTGACATTCCCGATTTTAGCGCGAATGTCAATTTTGTAAAAAACCCACCCCTCCCAACCCAAATCGACCCCACAAAACCAGCCCCCAACCAAAATTCCCAACCCATCAATCAAAATTGAACCCAAACGCATTGCACCGCACAGCATCTAGAAACTCCAACCATTGTCGCCCACCACCACAATGCTCAAAGAGGTTGGTTGGTTGGTTGGTTGGTTGGTTGGTTGGTTGGTTGGTTGGTTGGTTGGTTGGTTGGTTGGTTGGTTGGTTGGTTGGTTGGTTGGTTGGTTGGTTGGTTGGTTGGTTGGTTGGTTGGTTGGTTGGTTGGTTGGTTGGTTGGTTGGTTGGTTGGTTGGTTGGTTGGTTGGTTGGTTGGTTGGTTGGTTGGTTGGTTGGTTGGTTGGTTGGTTGGTTGCTTGCTTGCTTGCTTGCTTGCTGGAGGAAGACGACTGAGTTTCGAGATGCCTCAAGCTGTGAGTTTCGAGATGCCTCAGAATCAAATCCATGGGAAGAAGCTGCTGGAGGAAGGCAAGACAGATGGGCTGGAGGGGCTTTAAAGTCGGTCCGACGACAGGACAACAGACAGACGTACAACGGGGCAGGAGGCGGCTTCATAGGGAGCGATGGCAGCGGGTGCAATGATGCACATGCGCGCACAGTCCACGAACGCCCCTGCCACCTCCCGCTCTGTGAATGTGCGGTCGCACGCTTCTGGCAGACATGTGGCGAGCCTCACACATGTCTACATGCACACATACACACACGCACACATGCACACATGCACACACGCACACATGCACACATGCACACATGCACACACGCACACATGCACACATGCACACAACACATGCACACATGCACACATGCACACATGCATTCATGCACACTGCACACATGCATTCATGCACACATGCACACATGCGTTCACGCACACATGCACACACGCACACATGCACACATGCACACATGCACACACGCACACACGCGCACATGCACACACACACACACACGCACTCACACACGCATGCACACATGCACACACGCACACACGCACACATGCACACATGCACACATGCACACAACACATGCAAAAATGCATTCATACACACATGCACACATGCATTCATGCACACATGCATTCATGCACACATGCACACATGCGTTCACGCACACATGCACACATGCGCACATGCACACACGCACACATGCACACACACACACGCACACGCACTCACACACGCATGCACACATGCACACACGCACACACGCACACACGCACACACGCACACATGCACACACGCACACACGCACACATGCACACATGCACACACAACACATGTACGCATGTACGCATGCACACACGACACATGCACACACGCACACACGCACACATGCACACACGCACACACGCACACATGCACACATCCACACATGCGCACACATACACGCACACATGCACACATGCACACACATGCACACATGCACACACACGCACACTCACACATGCACACATGCACACATCCACACATGCACACACGCACACACGCACACATGCACACACGCACACACGCACACATGCACACATCCACACATGCACACACATGCACACATGCACACACGCACACCCGCGCACCCGCAAACCCGCACAGGCGCACATGCACACACGCACACACGCACACATGCACACACGCACACATGCACACACGCACACATGCATGCATGGAGCATGCATTCACACACACATGCATCGCATGCGTGGAGGTGCATGCATTGATCGGGCGGGGTGGTGTTGGAGTGGCGTGACTTGTGTCCGGACGGAGGCAATGACACGCGTGTGCGTCAGATGAGTGGAAAGAAAGAAGCAACTCATGTACTTTTTGGTCGACTCAAAATGTAATGGCTCATGCAACTCCATTGTGTCTCAGAAGAATGGAAAAAAACTTGTAATGGCTTGCATGGCATGGCACCATGTTTCACTCACATCACGACAGATGTCAGTCCCAGCAGCAGCAGCAGCAGCCGCAGTGCCAATCACCCGTATCTGACCACCGTCCTCCTCAGCGTCATCATGGGCATGTGCACAGTAGCCCCATGCAGCCAGCTCCACTGTGCTAGACAACCCGAGAGTGGCCATGCGCCGTGTGCCGGGAGGTGCGGCGTGCAGCGTGCCTCTGATGCCCCCGAATGGTGCATTCAGCACCACCACCCAGTCGCCGTCTGGTACGTCCATGGGGACTGAGAAATCCGCCTCGCCCTGTGGGAAGCGCTGAGGGGCCTCGTACCTTGACGGGGAGGGGTGAGGGGGGAGGACAGAGGGGGGAACGGGGAGCGGATGAGAAACAGAGGACGGGGAAGTGGCGATAGGGAAGGGGATAGGAGGCGGCGTGGATTGATTGCGCAAAAGGGGAGGGAGGGAGAAGGGAGCCAAGCGAAAAGCAAGGTGGTGGGTGTGGTGTGGTGTGGTGTGGTGCACTGCACCACAGAGAAAAGATGCCAAACCAAATTCCTTGTCCGTAGGGAAGGGACTGGCAGGTTGAGAGGGACTCGAAAGAGACAGACAGGGAGACAGAATTGGTGGTACCCCTGCATAGGAAGGCAAGCAGGAAGGAGGTGGGAGAGTGAAGGCATTCGCAGCAGAGTGAGACGGGGTTGACCATGCAGCAGAGGTTCCCCGAAAACTGCTACTTTTGAGGAGCCTCAAAAACAACCCTCAGTTTTTTAGCCAGCCGACTCAAAAATTACGAGCAGAGCGAGATGGGGTTGACCATGCAGAGGTTCCAAGAGGACTGCTCTGCAGCTTGCTGCGAGTGCAGCTGGGACGAGAATCTGATGATGATGGAGGTGAGGTTGGGGAACGAGCCGCAGTCGGCTTCGCAGCCAAAGCGGCCGAACGCGGGGTACTGGAAGGGGCGGTTGCACGTGCCGTCGCCACACGTGAAGTCCGCCCAGAGGGTCTGAAGTGCGTGGCAGGGCAGAGACGGGGAGAGGAAGGGGTTGCAGGCGGTGAGGATGGGTGCGGGTGGTGAGGGTTGGGTTGAGGCTAGAAGAGGGTTGTTGCTAGGTGCGTTGAAAGCAGAGGAGGGGGGATTAAGGGGGTGAGTGTGGGGGGGTTGGGTGGGGTGGGGGAAGCAAGTAGGAGAGGGGGGGTAGGGAATGCGTTGGTGCAGTGGAGGTTGAGGAGTTGTGCAAGTGTGGCTTCGGCCATACGGGTGGGGTAGCAGCTGTAGCCTGCAGTGCTTTTTGCAGCGCAGGAGGGTGCAGGATGGGCGCACGGGCGTGTGGGCGTATGAGTGGGCGTGTGCGTGTGCGTGTGCGTGGGCGTGTGAGTGGGCGTGTGAGTGGGCGTGGGCGTGTGCGTGGGCATGGGCGTGTGAGTGGGCGTGTGAGTGGGCGTGTGCGTGGGCGTACTTGTATGATGCTATTGTTGAGCCACTGGTAGAAATCATCGTCGCCAACAAAGGTGTTGGTGGCGTCCTGTGTCATGCCCTGCACCACACGCGCGGGATGGCAGATGGAAGGAGTGAGTGAGAGAGCTGAAAGAGAGCGGTTGTGCAGGGAATGAGAGAGCGGGCAAGTGAAGGGAGAGGACGAGGCGAGAGAGAGAGAGAGAGAGAGAGAGAGAGAGAGAGAGAGAGAGAGAACCACAAGTCAAACCGTATGTTTGTACCCCCGCTGAATTAATACAAAGGACCATTTGAGAGAGAGAGAGAGGGAGGGAGGGAGGGAGGAAAGACCGAGGGTGCATGATGCGCTGGGCAAGGTGAAAGTGAGAGCGGGCGACTTTGTAGGCGCCTCAAAATCCACGTGCATTTAGGTGATTTTCGAGGCACCAAAAAAACCGTCTCAACATCTCACGCGTTAAGGGAGAGGAGGGAGAGAGAAAAGGACCGAGGGTGCAGGGTGTTGTGGTGGGCAATGGCAACGAGAAGGTGGCTGTGCGTGTGTGTGCACTGAGCATACGCTGGTGCTTGCTTGGATTGGAGCTGTTGAACCTGTGCGAGGAGGTGCTGAGGGGGAGGGAACGCTCTCAGAAAAGGCCAAAGCTTTGTGCCTTATCCTACTTGCTTTTAGGTGAGGAGATGCGGAGGACATGGATAGGTAGGGCGCAGTGAGGCCAGCATGCGGTGAGGGATAGAGTGTTCACCTAAGTTGGTCATTTACGCCATTTCAGCCCACGTACACGTAACGTACGCATACATGTACGTTTACGTGTACGTACGCGTACGTACGTGTACGTACGCCAGGCAGGTCAAAAAAAAAATCCCCTAGAAATTTCTTTGAAAACGGTTTCCGAAAACCTAAAAAAGAAACAAGCTTTCGATGACCTGTGCTCTGTTAGCGTGTTAGTAAAATGGCGCGACGTTTTTCAAGGTAGTAATGTAAGAAACAGGAATGTTGCTAGCTAAGGTTGCTATGGTGTGGCGACTACCCTACGTACTATGTCGACTAAGGAGGTAGAACTACGATAGCTAAGTCTGTCGAGAGAGGGAGGGAGGAAATTGTGGTCGGAGTAGATCTGAATGTGTACAAACTGTTCGCGATAGAACATTGCGAACAGTTTGACTCAGCTCGCGATTGCTTCGCTTGCAAGGTAAGCAAATGTCACCCGCTCGGCAGTTTCGTCACCGCCGAGCTTCACTGGTTTCGGCGAATCCCAACTTCGAGTCAAACCAATTCGCCGATTCAAGTCTAAATTTACATCGAGCGAGTTTCATGCACCTTCCGTAAGACGCGCAAACGCGTGCCTGCACCTTCCGCGAGTCAAAACCGGAAACTAACAATGCGATTCGACGGCAAAGAACTATTTTGCAGCTATAGCTAGTAAGTATAACAAAAGTCACCACGCTTAACCAACAATCACAGCTAGCTTATCAATCCATCTACTCAATCAACTCTCCAACAGATTATACTAGTACTATGGAGACCCCTATGCAGACCTCTGAGCATCCCGTGCGGCGATGCTTCATTGTTCCTGAGGGCGGAACGTCTGATTCTACGCTAGCGAAGAAATGCAAGCGATGTGGTAAGTTGTGGAAACTGAATGTGGCGCGAGCTCAGGCACACATTCTCGGAATTCCAGGGAGCGGAATCACGCCATGCGCCTCAGCTACACCTGAGGATAAGGAGAAAATCCGTTCCGCGATGGATGATAAGAGAAGGGACTCAGATTCTCGCGAGAAAGCGCAACAGAAAACGTCTAATGCATTCTCGCCATCGTCTACTACGAACACCAAGTCGGTGGGCATGGGGGCGAGTGGCTCCAACGTAGCGGAAAGTAGCAGCATGGCACGCAAGAGACAGGCGACGCAACGTACGCTTATGGATACTCGCCCCAAACCCGTCGACGCGGCGAGTGCGCAACTAGCCATCGCAACGTTTTTCCACGTGTGTCGTATTGCACCGAATGTTGCGGAGCACGATGCTTTCAAGACGATGCTGAAAAAGGTTGCTGCTGCTGGTACAGGATTTACACCTCCTGGACGACGGCTTATAATGGGAAGATTGTTGGAGGAGTGCAAGGCGAACACCGACACTGCGTTGAAGGAGGTGCAGGATTCATGGAAGGATGTCGGGGTGTGCATCGCGTGTGACAGTTGGACTGACAGCGAAGGACGTTCGCAGCTGAACTTCTTAACTGTCAATACCATTGCATCCGTATTTCTTTTTGGGGTGGATTGCGGCATGGAGAAGAAGGGAGCAGAATTCATTGCTGGCCACTCGAAGACGGCAATGGTCATGGTGGGAACGGAGAACGTAGTCGGCCTGCTGATGGACGGTGCGTCCGGGAATGTCAACGCTGCCAGCATCATCGCCCTCGACTACCCAAAAGTTCAGTGGATTCGTTGAGCTGCGCATTCTCTCAATCTAATGATGAAAGACATTGGCCAACTTGATTGGGCCAAGGATACCATCGATCGCGCGCAGCAGCTAATTTCGACGCTGAAGAACGCGCACTGGATTACCTGGGTTCTTCGGAAGGAGAAGGTGCTACAAATCTTGAAACCTGCGGGCACTCGTTTTGGAACAAACTACATCGCCATCGAACGCCTGCAAGCAATGCGCAAAACTCTCGACAAGCTGGTGCTAAGTGAGGATTGGGAGGAGTACATCAAGGGAAAGCCGAAAATGAAGGACGCATGGGATACTATTATCGACAAAGAGTTCTGGGCGCGCGTTGGGACGGTGCTCGATGTGCTTCGTCCGGTCTATAAGCTGTTGCGGAATGTTGACGGCAATCAGGAGGTGATGGGCAAGATCTATGACAAAATGTTTGTTTTGGAGGACGCGGTGAAGGAGGCGTGTAAGGAGCTGACCGAGGAGGAGAAGGAGGATGTGACCAACATCGTGCGGAATCGGTGGAACAAGGACATCAACTGCGCGCTTCACGTGGTCGGACGGATTCTGTACCCGCCAAACCAATACGAGTCAATATTTGGAACGGACGTGGAGTGTACCAAGATCTTCAAGCAATTCATTCGAAATTACTACAAGGGTGAGTTCGTGAAATTGGGAGGGGTGATGGCGCCACTCGCAACCATCGTCGAAAAAGAGGTCTTGACATACACCAAGGGGAAGGGAGACATTGGGGAGCAGAAAGCGCGTGATGAACATGAATTCATCAAAGCTGGGCTTTTGGATTCGGCGCATTGGTGGGAATTCAATGGCACGGACGTGCCCCACCTCTCCAAGCTTGCAAGGAGAGTTCTCAAGCAATGCATCTCGGCCTCCCCTTGCGAGACGAACTGGGCCGTTTGGGAGTCAATCCATACAGCTCGTCGTAATCGCCTTGGAGCGAAACGCCTTGCCGACCTAGTGTACGTGAGCCACAACTATCACACAGTGAAGAAGTTGAATGAGGATCTTGCTAAGAAGCTGGTGGTGAGTGGGCTTCCTGTGATCCAAGTTAAGGAAGAACCTACTGACAGCTACGGGCATCTCGATGACGACGACATCCCTGATGAGGAATATCTTGATGGCCAGGAAGCGGAAGAGCCGAAGGAGTGAGGATGATATGATATTCTGCACAACGCGTGCATGATGGTACTTTTGTTATTTGGGAAATAACGAGGTTGTAATGGAATGTTTATACTATATGATGGAAATCATGATTACGAGGGAGTACTGTAAAAAAAATATACATATTCGGGCAGCCCAGAAATTTTTCCACCTGCCCGTACATTAGGCCTCCAACCCAACAGCCGCGTAAACGTACGTACCCGTACACGTACGTACGTAAACGTAAACGTAAATGACCAACTTAGGTGTTCACGGGAGTGGGGGAGGAAGGAAGGCGGGGAACGGAGAGAATGGGGTAGGGGAACGGGGAGAATGGGGTGGAGGGGAGAGTGAGGTACAAGGGAAGGGGAGAATGGGGTAAGGGGGCAGGGGGGGAGTGGGGTAGGGGGGGAGGGAGAGGGTGGTGTTGGGAGGGAGGAGAGGAGGAGTGGGTAAAAGGGGAGGATGACAGTGGGGTAAGGGGGAGGGGGACAGTGGAATAAGGAGGAGGGGGGTAGTGGGTTAGAGGGAGGGGGGAGGGGGAGAGTGGGGGAGTAGGGGAGGGCGGGAGTGGGGGAGTGGGGGAGCGGGGGAGTGGGGGACCTTACGAGCCAACGAAGCATAGAGAGTAGGCGGGCAGCAGTCTCACAGGCGGGTAGCAGTCTCACAGGCGGGCAGCAGTCTCACAGGCGGGTAGCAGTCTCACAGGCGGGCGGCAGCCTCACAGGCGGGCGGCAGTCTCACAGGCGGGTAGCAGTCTCACAGGCGGGTAGCAGTCTCACAGGCGGGTAGCAGTCTCACAGGCGGGTAGAGCACGGAGTGTGCAGCAGTGATGTCATAGCTACGCGAGGAATCAGCCTGCATGTAGAGGATGGTGATGAAGAGCGCCATGAGCAGCACAAAGCCCCCCAGGTCGCGGTAGTGAAGCACTCGCTTCTGCAGCGCCAGCACTCGTGTGAAGGCCTCTGGCACGCACAAAGGGGAGGGCGGGAGGATGAGGAGAGAATCACACGGGCATGAGCCGCACAAAGGCCCCCAGGTCGCGGTAGTGCAGCACTCACTGCTGCAGCGCCGGCACGTGCTGAAACGCCTCTGGCGGGGGGGGTATGAGAAAGGGGGGGGTGGAGGGAGAAGGGAAGGGGGAGTAGAAAGCACAGTGGAGAGTTGAGGAAGGGGTGAGGGTGGAGTGGAGTGTGTGGAAAGACTACACTTGTCGCAGGGTTGCAGGCTGTGGTGGGCTGTATGCGGGGCTTCAAAGGCACACACGGACGGCGGGAGTCGAGGGAGGAGAGGGGCGAGGAGAGGGGAGGGGAGAAGGGGAGGGGAGAAAGGGAGAGAATAAGGGGAGGGGAGAAGGGAAGAGGAGAAGGGGAGAGAAGGGGAGAGGAGAGGGGACGGAAAGTGAAGATGAGAGGAGAAGCACGAGAGGTAAGCTGAAAAAACCCCTCACTCAACGTTTGGATTCCTCGTAGCAACTGCTCCGAACCAGGACGCACCTTGCAGCACCTCCCCATCCATCTCATCCATCTCCGCGTCATGCAGCACGCCACTCTCCATGTGCGGGCGCGCTGCTGCCCCATTCCGCCCAAAGTCCTCTGTCAAACTGCGCATCAGCGGAGCGCCCACCCCGTCCTCCGCTCCCCCTCTCCCCACGCTCCTACCCCCAGCCCCCGGGAGCACATCCGCAAGGGCATCCCCTCCGCCCTCCGCGTGCCCATTCTCGCAGCTGTCCCCTTCCCCGCTGTGCTGTGTCTCCCTGCTGCTGCCCTTCCCCATCCCGCCAGTGAGCTCCACTTCGCCGCACTGCTGCTCCTCCCGCCACGGCCGCAAGCAGCTCCCCCGCATGCTTTTGAGTGGGTATGTGCGGGAAACGGCACCCAATCCCTCGTCTTCCACGCTCCTCCCACTGCTGCTGGCCCCTGCCCGCTCGTTCCCTGAACCCTCGCGGCGCGAAGCGCCTCCCCCTCCACCATCCCCTCCGCCGGCTCCCCCTCCCCATGTTCCCCCCCCTTCCGCATCGTCATCCGCAGGGTCCTCCCCTCCGGTACTACTAGCGGAGTCGGGCAGTCTCAGCGACGTGCGCGCGCCACGTGTCACGAGCTCCGCGGCATTCGCCGGAACGATGCTGCCGTCGGGAGTGTCGAGCAGACCCGAGTCGCGCGTGCTGCTGCTCGATGAGTGACATGTCGCGGCGTCGTGTGAGGAAAACAAGAAGGAAGACACGTTCAGGGAATTCAACGACACAGTTCTACCAGAACTACTAGTTATCGTTGAATGGCAATCGTTGAATGACCGACGCGGATATGAAGAGCCGTACCTTTCATGTAAAGTCCTTCATACTACAAATGGTCTGCAAATTAGCACGGCTGACGAGCGGCGTGGACCTAGGCCTTACCTAGGCGCGCAGTCGGACTTGGATCGGAATATCATGAGGTTGGCTTGCTCGTACGCGTCGAACTTCTCCTCCAGCAAACTAATCGACCGCGGAAACTGCGGCTCCGCCTCGCCATGGGAAGTCGCCGCCTCCGCAGCCCTCTTCGCGCGCACCACTGCGACCGACTCCGCCATGAGGTTTGCCGCTAGTTACTCTCAATACTGCTTCGTTCGCAGAGAGGCACTGGCGAGGAAGCAGAAACGGATCATCTTGGCCTTGTTCTGTGGCCCCTTAACTCAGAGTTAACAGGGTTCGTGGTGGCTTCATTAACTCAACCCTCACACGTGTGTACGTTACAATCACACCGTGCCAGCTAACTCTGAGTTAGCAAATATGGGTTCCAAATACGCAAAGTTATAACTCTGAGTACGCTTCGTAGGAAGCATGCACCGAAACTTCTTTCACGGGCAAACTAACTCAGAGTTACAGCTTTCCCTACTCGGGCTTTTGGGTGAAAGCTGGCTGCACTACTCTGAGTACGGCTCGAGAGGGGTTACCTTAACAATGCCCACATTTGGTTCTTTCCAACTAGTGCCTACGCTTCCCATATTTGGCCTGTAACTGATCTTGCACTGACTCCATCTTTTTCTGTCTGCACCACGCGACCCCGAGATTCCAAGATTACCTTCATGGTCACCCTTTCGCGAAATTTGTTTCGAAGGGGCGGCAGTTCGGGTTGAGTCCAAAAGTTTTGACCGGGACATCTTCGAGAACCTTCCTGACACTCCCATAACTCAGAGTTACGGGCCACAGAACAACAAGGTAAGTTACAACTCATACCTTCACACGAGCGAAATGATTACTCGTCGGTGAACTCACCCAACCCTGCAAGGCTCGGTAACTCAGAGTTAGCTAACTCTGAGTTAGCGCCACAGAACAAGGCCCTTGTTTTGTGGGAACCGACTACACCCTGTTCCTCACGATTATGGATTCCGGTATACTGAACCCAGTGGCCCAACGCGTCGAAGGACGCGTTATATTCAAGTTTCGCACCAGTGCGTTTTGACGAGGTTGGTTACGTTTGAGAGCGTTCAAAGAAAATTTTAGAATGGCTCGGTAGGGTACACCGGATATTAAATTTTTGAATCGCCCACCTTTTAGAGGGTTATTGGCAACTCTCCGAATACGTCCAAGGAACAGTTCAACTGTTGAGTGTGTTTCCGCAGTTTCTAGTAGCGCGAAGCAGGGTGTACTGATAATCTTTCTTTGGCCTGTTCGGTAGCACTCACACCCAGGCCTTGTTCTGTGGCGCTAACTCAAAGTTAGCTAACTCTGAGTTACCGAGCCTTGTAGGGTTGGGTGAGTTCACCGACGAGTAATCATTTCGCTCGTGTGAAGGTATGAGTTGTAACTCACCTTGGCCTTGTTCTGTGGCGCTAACTCAGAGTTAGCTAACTCTGAGTTACCGAGCCTTGCAGGGTTGGGTGAGTTCACCGACGAGTAATCATTTCGCTCGTGTGAAGGTATGAGTTGTAACTTACCTTGTTGTTCTGTGGCCCGTAACTCTGAGTTATGGGAGTGTCAGGAAGGTTCTCGAAGATGTCCCGGTCAAAACTTTTGGACTCAACCCGAACTGCCGCCCCTTCGAAACAAATTTCGCGAAAGGGTGACCATGAAGGTAATCTTGGAATCTCGGGGTCGCGTGGTGCATACAGAAAAAGATGGAGTCAGTGCAAGATCAGTTACGGGCCAAATATGGGAAGCGTAGGCACTAGTTGGAAAGAACCAAATGTGGGCATTGTTAAGGTAACCCCTCTCGAGCCGTACTCAGAGTAGTGCAGCCAGCTTTCACCCAAAAGCCCGAGTAAGGGAAAGCTGTAACTCTGAGTTAGTTTGCCCGTGAAAGAAGATTCGGTGCATGCTTCCTACGAAGCGTACTCGGAGTTATAACTTTGCGTATTTGGAACCCATATTTGCTAACTCAGAGTTAGCTGGCACGGTGTGATTGTAACGTACACACGTGTGAGGGTTGAGTTAATGAAGCCACCACGAACCCTGTTAACTCTGAGTTAAGGGGCCACAGAACAAGGCCCTTGTTGTTCTGTGGCCCGTAACTCTGAGTTATGGGAGTGTCAGGAAGGTTCTCTAAGATGTCCCGGTCAAAACTTTTGGACTCAACCCGAACTGCCGCCCCTTCGAAACAAATTTCGCGAAAGGGTGACCATGAGGCACAAATTCAACTTCACGCTGACGAAACCATCCCCCCGACTTCACTAGTTGGAAAGAACCAAATATGGGCATTGTTAAGGTAACCCCTCTCGAGCCGTACTCAGAGTAGTGCAGCCAACTTTCACCCAAAAGCCCGAGTAAGGGAAAGCTGTAACTCTGAGTTTGTTTGCCCGTGAAAGAAGATTCGGTGCATGCTTCCTACGAAGCGTACTCAGAGTTATAACTTTGCGTATTTGGAACCCATATTTGCTAACTCAGAGTTAGCTGGCACGGTGTGATTGTAACGTACACACGTGTGAGGGTTGAGTTAATGAAGCCACCACGAACCCTGTTAACTCTGAGTTAAGGGGCCACAGAACAAGGCCCCAAAGTGAAGTGCGCGGGAGTAAGGAAACCAGACAACAAATACGGTAGCTTGCAGATTTTCAAGTTGGATGGTTTGCTTGCAGTTAAAACTAAAAACGGCTAGAAATCTGGTGTCCCCTTTGGATTCAGCTGCAAGAGGCTGTCACAAGTGGATGCTCGTGTCTAGTTGTGCCTACGCACTTGTTATGAATGAACTTGCAGAGTGCGCAGAATAACCAATAACGAGAATGAGTACTGAATTGATCAACTGATAACACACTAAGTGACGAGGCCTAAATAGGGGAAGTCCTAGCTAGGCGAAGGGGTAGGGCGAAGATGGCTCGGTGATATTTGCGATTGGAGCGGAGGCCGACTCGGGAGTGGTTCGGTGCGACGAAATAGGGCGAACAGGTTCGTCGCATGACCCTCGGGATGGCCTCGCTAACGAGTGCCTCAGTAAGGATTTGTAAATCCTTACACTCTCCCACCTTCTAAATAAGGCAGCCCTGTAGTGAGAACAGACCCCACACTAGCGAGGATGCCGTAGATCTCCTCTTCCGCTGAATCCGACGGTTGAAATGCCTGTGACAATATTTTTGAAGAGTTTGGAAAGTAGGCCGTTGATGAAGTCCGATTTCGATCTGACGGTCGAAGACTGACGCGAAAAGAGAGGGAACCTGCTGACGCGAATTCAAACGCGATTGAGCAGGGACCGTAGATCGTGTCGGTGTGATCGCGATCGTCCGTCGTGCTGACGCAACCTCACAAAGTCAGAAAGGACCGAGAAAAACGCCAAGGAAAGAACAGTGCAAAGCACTTTCTCCCCCCCTCCAAGAAAATTGTGCACAAAATCTTCACAGCTGCGCCGAAGTAAAATCCAACAGAACCAGGTGTTAAGTCCCACTGAAAACGAGTGTGCAGCGTAGGGGACAAGGTGAAAACATGTCGGTGTGGAAGGTCGATGACGAAACCAGTAGTACGTGTCCAAAATTCTTCGAGGGCGAACCATAAGATGTAGCCCGGAAAACCGTGTCGAAATAATCAAAGACCTCGAACTGTCAAGTCTTGTCGTGACACATCCAGAATCTTCGGTGGTGTCTTCTACAGTTGCAGCTGGCAGCACTTGACATGGTTTATATTAAATGCAGTTGTCGTGGGCGGGTCAAAGGCGAGTTGTCAGAGTAGAGTTGGGATGGTTTTGCCGAGAGTTTTGTCGTAATGCGTCGATGGTTCGTGGGCAGGGATGAAATTTTACAGCTGTTTCTCCCCCCCATTCACTGTTGCTGCCGCCTTTTTCAGTTCGTCGTAAGTCGTTCGTACCCCTTGAAACTCCGTGTAGACTTGCGATGTCGCCCAAACGTTGTTGTCGCATGCGTTTAACCAAATGTCGAAGTTCTGCCACGAAAATGTCGGCGCTTCTCGCCATAAAACCGGTAAGGCCGTCGTCAAACTCCGAAATTGTCGTTCGAAATCAACCCCGTAAAATCCGCAGTCGCAGGTGCAGTTCTCCTCCGAAATCTTCGGTCGTACTATAGCCGCCCACTCGGTCACCAGCTGTTTCCGTCAGTTCAGAACCCATCTGGGGGCATAATCTGGAACCGGGGACTAAACCTGGATATTCCGAGACCGAATTTCACGGACCCTAGAGGCATCAACGCCGTTGACCCGCCGTCGAAACTGCTTCCGCCGCGATGTTTTAACAAATTAACACTCAAACTCCCACTGGCGCTTTGCAGATGTTTGACCTCATCGCTCGTCGCCGGCAGGTAAATCCCGAAACTTCGGCTGCTCCCACGCTCCCTTTTACTGAAGAATTTCCCGCGGTGTACGTTTAAACACTTGTGGGTTCTAGGTATCCCCGCCGCTGTGTTTCTTGCCAGGCGACTTTGAAAAGTGACCCTTCATGCTAAGTCCCCCAACGGCTCAACCGCACTCCAAGAAGCGAAGAAACACCCTCAGCTTCAACTCTTTTTTTTTTTCGTAGAAAAGTCGCCCGAAAATCATGGTTGAGGTGTCAGAATATTATGTTTGTCTAGCCTGCAGTGGGGTACTCAATAGTGAGTACAGCCCAATCTAGGGTTTGCTATATGTACTCAACTACTTCCTAGTGCAACGCTCTCTTTCTCATTTCTAACTTCCTTTGGTTTCTTAACATGGTATCAGAGCAGGTCGACCCTCACGGGTCGATCCTGTGGATGGGCCCACCAATGCTTCCGCTGCTGCTATCCTGCCTATTGCGCGCCTTGGGCGCGCACTATCTTGCTTCCTGCCGCGCGCCCATGGCGCGCGGCCCTTTTTTCTTCCCGCCGCGCGCCCCTAGCGCGGCGGTTTGCTGCCCGTCGCGGCCCCTTCGTGGCCCCCGTCGCGGCCCCTTCGTGGCCCCCGTCGCGGCCCCGTCGCGGCCCCGTCGCGGCCCTGCTCCGGCCCTGCCCCGTCGCCTGCTGCCGCCCTGTCGCGGCCCCAGTCGCGGCCCCGCCCCAGCCCTGCCTCGTCGCCCGTCGCGGCCCTGTCGCGGCCCCGTCCTGCTGCCGCACCGTCGCGGCCCCCCCCGTCGCGGCCCCCTGTCGCAGGCCCCCGTCGCGGCCCCCCTCGTCGCGGCCCCCCGTCGCGGCCCCCCGTC